TCGGGGGGGAGTGCGCGGTGGGCGCCTGGCTACATCGGTGCCGCTTTGGCCCACTACCATCAGACCTCGAGAGCGGGGCCGACGGTGCCGCCCCGCTCCAGAGAAGAAACAGCCTGGGGCATCAACGCGCACCCTGTGCGTTCGCAAGTCTACGGGGGTGGGCTGACAATCGCGCGGGGCACAGGGCCCTCTCACTCCGAATGGTTCTATATCGCTACAACGCGCGCGCAGGGGTCCAATGCAATGCACTGGAACGGGATTAATAGGAGGGAGTTGCTTCTACTACGTCTCCCCCCTGACCGCAGGCAAAGCGCTCGACGCGCCCGCCCCCCTCCTCCGTCGCTCTACTGCGCAGCAGGCGCGCCTGTCAGGCTACTGCAATGTGCAGGCGCGTGTGTTTGCGACCGTGAAGGTATTTCGAAAACGCCTAAGACGATGCAGCGCGTGGTGGCCCCGCAGAGGCTCGGCGGCCTCGAGGAGTGTCCGAGGGTAATGATACGTGAGGGCTTCGCCCCCATGCCGCCGGCCTTCCTCTCGTAGAATGGGACTTGCCAGAGCTGTGTTGGGATGTCTGGGCGCTGGTGTGAAGCAATATCGGGACTTCACGCGAGGGCCAATATTAATGCACAAAGATTTGAGGTTTCGGTGGCGCGAGTATTAGACAATTTGCGATGGCTCATGGCTTCGGTCACGCGAGCGTGGTATAATTTCAGAGGGTTTGCTGCTTTGGGGACGCAGCTGTTGCATACTTAAAAAGGGTTGATGGCCTCGGGGGCGCCACTACTGCGCAATTCAAAAGGGTTTATGGCCTCGGGGACGCGATTATTAAGGAACTTGCGAGGGCTTGTGGTCTCGTGGGCGCGAATATGGTGCAACGCACAAGCACAAAAAGGTTTATGGCGCTGGGGACGCGAATTCTCCATGATTTTTGATGGAATATTGCTTCGGGGGCGCGAGTACTTTGTAATTTGTAAGGGTTTATGGTTTCGGGGGCGCGAGTGCTCCAAGGGACCCCCAGAGGGCCCCCAAGAGGCGCCCAGAGGTCCCAAGAGACCCCCAAGAGGCTCCCAAGGGGCGCCCAGAGGGGTCCAATAACGCCAGAAAAAGGCCCCGGGACTGCCAGTGAGAGCCCCGAAACAGTCCAAGAGGGTCATAGAAAACCCCAATAGGTCCCCAAAGGTTCCCAACGGGCTCCCAACAGGCCTTCAACAGGCTCCTCAGAGGGCACCAGAGACCCCAAAAGAGCCCCAAGAACATGAGACGGCACTCGAAGTCCATCGCGTGTTCAGGGCGGCAGATGACGGGACGCGCCTCTGGAGTGCATTGTCCTCATGAATCCACTTTTCTCTGTTTGTGGGGTCGGGGCTGCACCCCGCCCCGAGAGAGGCCCAAGACGGCCCAAAGGGTTCCAAAGGACGCCCAAACATGCATGTATTACCGTATCCCCTTGCTTGTGCTTCTCTTCCTCCTCGTTGTCCTCACGCTCCTCCTCGCTATCCTCACGTGCTCCACGTCGTCCTCGTCATCGCCTCCTCGTCGCCCTCGCCTTCTGTTTCTTGGTATTCTTATTCCTATTCTTCTTGTTCTTCTTCTTCTTCTTCTTCCAATGCGCTCATTGGAGTAAAGTCACGCTTCCCGTTCTTGTCCGATCAGGTTTAATCGCTTCGCTCACTCTGCCCGCGCGTAGTGTGCCATCGCAGGCATTTGCCTGCGCGTTCGTGGCTTCTTGAAGGCCGTTTGGGGGTCTCTTGGAACCTCTTTTGGTGCCTCTTGGCGGTATTTCTGGGGCCTCCTGGGGCGTCACAGGGGGCCTCTTGGGGGCCTCTTGGGGGTCTCTTGGGGCCCCTCGGGGGCTTCTTGAGGGCTTCTTGGATGCTTCTTGGGGCCTCCAGGGGACCTTTCTGCGCCTAGAGCTCGAAATATCCGTTCGCGTCCCTCGTGTGGGCCCGCGTTTGGAGCTGTGTTGGGAGCCTCTTCGGCCATTTTCTAGGGCTCTGGGGCTGTCTTAGAGCCCTCGGGGGCTGTTTTGGGCGCTCGTGGAGGCTTTTTGGGCCGTTTTGGGGCGATCCTGGGAGCTTCTTGGGCCGCCTTGGGGCGCCGGTAGGCGCCCAATGCGAGAACGCCAAAAGCCTTCACAAGCAATGAGAGAAAACCTCACATTTCTGACTCTGTGGGCCCTCTTGGGAGGTCTCTTGGGGGCCTTTTAGGACGTCTTGAAGGCGCTTTGGGATGTCTGGAGGCCATCTCTGGCGTCTTGGATCGCTCTTGGACCGTCTCGGACCATGTTGAGCTCTCTTGGGGGTCAGTTGAAGCGCTCCTGGAGCGCTCTTGGGAGCCTGCTGGGACCTGGCTGGGACCACGCCCAGACCTGCATGGGGCCTTGCCGGGACCTGCCCGGGACCTTGCTGTGACATGCCCGGGACCTTGCCGGGACTTTGCCGGGGTATTTTTCGTCCTGGGACCCCCAAGGGCGGCCCTGCGCGCGCGAACTAGAAATATTGTTAACCAGTTGCTGGGGATCTTAGCACGCCCTTGGCCCTTTGGGCGGCCACATTGCACGGTAAACTAAGGCGAACTTCAGTAACGCACCAAGGTCACAACATCACATGGCACGGACCCGCAGTCATTTTCTTCTCACGCAGGGAAAGCTCACGACGACTGCAATCTGATGCTGGGCACAGCCGAGACAGAAACAGCTAAGTCGAGTCCGAGCTCACACGCCCCGACGGCGTGGGAGACAGCTGCAGGCGTGGAGGCGGCAGGTGCGCCAGCCACCGTGATCCAGAGCGGCCGCGGCGTTTAGAAGCACTGCAGTGGCGACGGTCACAACGTCGCGCTCGGCGCCTTGGCGTGCAGGTTGCAATCGGTGCACGACGCACTCCAGGGCGCTGCAGAGGTGCGCGCGTCCTGCCATCGGAAGCCCAGCTCGGTTCCCTATGGGCTCTACCGCCAGAAAGAGAGGATCCACGCCTCCCTCGGGCGCGTCGAGGACTCCGGCAGCTTCGGCCGCGAGGGGGAGATGGAGAGGTGCCAGGCGGCGTTCGTATCTTATGGCCTTCGGCCCATCCCGCCACCGCGCCTGCGTTGCGGGGATGAAGCCTGTTGGATGTTCGTTGGGATCTCGTGGGGGGCTTCTCGGGCGCCTCTTGGACCTTGGAGGCGGCTTGGGTGGCTCTTGAGGGCCTTTTGGTGGCCTCTTGGGGCCTCCAGGGAGCCTCTTGGGGCCTCCTGGGGGTCTCTTGGGACGGAAGGCTCGGGTTTTCGGTTTGTGTTCCTTCTTTGGGGCTTCTTTTGGGGCCGTCTTGGGGCGTTCTTGGGCGCCTCTTGGGCTGTCTTGGGGCCCTATTGGGTCGTTTTTTGGCCCCCCTCGAGGCTTATTGCGCCGTCTTGGAGCGGTCTTGGGGGTCTCTGGGGCCGTTTGGGAGCGACGGGAAGCCGAAATGGCGAGAACGCCAACATCATTCAAACACCTACGGGAAATCAAAGAATTTTGGCCTCTTGGGGCCCTCTAGGGTAGCCTCTTGTAGGCCTCCTTGGCCGTCGTGGAGGCTTCTTGGGCCGCCTGAGGGCCATCTTGAGCGTCTCGGAGCGATCGGTCGGCGGCCCAGGGCCTCCTTGGACCGTCTCGGGGGCTCCTCGGGGCCCTCTCGGCCCGCCTCGGGGCCCTTCCAGGCCCGAAGGAGTCACGCGACGGACCGCGCCACGCACCCGGAGGTTTGGGCCGAGGGACCCCGATCCTATGAAGACTCCTCTGGCGTGAGGACTGCGGATTAGAAGGGGTAGTGAGAGGACCTGAGGGCACGCCCACTCGGTGCCCAGAGGTACAGTGGAGGACTACGAGCGCAGCCGAACAACGCAGACAAGGCGATCGACGCCGCAAAGCAGCTCGCGTCGCAGCTGGACGGCAACGGGCGCTGCACACTGGGGCCCTTCCCGTGGGAGCTCGATTGGATGAGGCGCCAGGCGGACGAGCTCGAGGGAGCGTTCACGCGCAGGGCGTCGGGCATTGCAAGTTGGGGCTACGACGCCGTGAAGGAGCCGCAGACGGTGCAGACGGTGCAGATCAGCTGGTCCTAGCAGCACCAGGACCAAACGTCGCCACGCCCGCAGTGCCCGAGTCCAACACCAGCAGTGCTCAAGAGGTTGGACACCGGGCAGCACGGCCAACGCACTTGCAGGTGCAACATCCAGCTCCAGCCCGCAGCCGCAGCCACAACAGGAGCGTGGCGACCTTGCATGAAGAGCGCGGCATTTGCGACAGCAACGAGGTTCGGGCTTGGCCAGCTATCATGAAAGGGATCGTGGGCCCAGCTTCATAGCTGACAGTTCGTAGCAATGTAGCAGCCACTTCAAGCGAGGCAGGCCCCTCTGAAATGAGGCCTGGCCAGTGCGGCGCGTCTGGAGGCTGCGGGGCCAGTCTTATCCATACCAGCCTGCAGTGTTCTCTTGGAGGGGATCGTGTGGGGGGGGGGGTCGGGGGAGGGGTTGGGAGCTTCAAGGTCCTCAGTGGAGGAGGTGCGTCACCTCAGGGTGACAGCGGCCTCCGCCCGCAAGCAGACGGCAGTCCACTAATCACCGAGGCGGGGTCCCCTGCCAAGCGGGGCAGCCATCTCCCCCTAGACTCACTGGAGGGGTGGCAAGGTGGCACGCCCCAGGCAGCTCCCTAACCAAAGGTCGGGGGGCGAGCATGCATGTGATAACCTAGGGGTCAGTCAGTTTGAGTAGCTCGACGCCGCTCGGGCCCGCAACGGCCTTACCTTTATTTCCCTCCTCCGCCTCCTCCTCCTCCTCCTTCTCCTCCCTTTTCCTCCTCCTCCTCCGCCTTCTCGTCCTCCTCCTCCCTCCCCCCCTCGCTTCCCCTCCCCTTCCTCTTCCTCCTTCTCCTCCTCTCCTCTCCTCGTCGGGGGGGGGGGGCGGGCGCTGGAAGGCATTCGCGCCCGTCGCCCGACAGCCCCGCCCTCCGCCCCCCCGAGACCCGACGGCGTTCGGGGGACGGGGAGGCGCTGGAGCGCGTGCCGCGCCCCCAGCCGCAGGAGCTCCCTGCCGGCGCCCCGGGGGGGGGGGGAGCACGACCTCGCAGGGGCCTGAGGAGGCAAGAGGAGGAGGGACGATTTGGAAAGGGACGATTTGGAGAAGGAGGAGGCTCGGGAGGAGGGGGAGATGGAGGGGGAGGGGGAGGGGGAGGAGGAGGAGGAGGAGGAGGAGGAGGAGGAGGGGGGGGAGGAGGAGGAGGAGGAGGAGGAGGAGGAGGAGGAGGAGGAGGAGGAGGAGGAGGAGGAGGAGGAGGAGGAGGAGGAGGAGGAGGAGGAGGAAGACCAGTGTACGCCCAAGACTCATCAACGAGATTGCAATAAACCCTCCCTCCAAGCTCCCTCTTCATAGGCTCCTCCACGGACTCATCTTCACTGAGGGGAATTTCCCGTTGGAAGACAACCGTTTGAACATCCGGAACCGTGCCAAAACAGTAGTTCTGGGACTTCAGTGCCGCGAATCACCGCTAGTACTGCCTCTTGGCGATCTGGAGTAGTGCCAGAACGCCACTCCTGGGATTTCAACACTGCGAATCAACGTGACGGCATATTGCCAAAATCTCTTCTCTGGGACGTTAGCCATGCAACTCCTTGAAACGGATGCAGACTCCCAAGACGAATGTGCGCGGCGCCAAGGCGGTCGAGACATTTTGAAAACGAGCCGCCCTCCATCCATGCAGCTCCTGCAAAGTTTAAAGAAGAGTGCACGCGGCGCTAAGGCGAGAGCGACATTTTGAAAGCGGACCGCCCTCCATCCGTGAAGCTGTTGCAAAGTGAAAGCTTCGTGTTCATAGATTGCGAGGAAGTCTCAAACAGAACGCCTGGCCCGCCCTTGACCAGCCTCGGGGTGCGAAGGAGCTATCTATAAGGAAAAGGAATGGAGGAGGAGGACGAGGAAGAAGAGGAAGAGGAGGAGGAGGGGGAGGAGGAGGAGGAGGAGGAGGAGGAGGAGGAGGCGGACGACAAGCCGACAAGTTGAAAGGCGCTTACGCTATCCCACTTGCAACCGATGGAGACCGAACACGATGCCCTGGGGCAGAGGGCAAACCGGAAACGAACCAGCCATGCCAAGACGGCCTCGAGGAGCACTTGCGGGACCCTCCACACGAGTCACAACATCGGATGCTCACGAAACGACAGGCATCAGTGCGCGCGGGCACTCATTCACTTCCCGCGCCCTGTTCCGCAGCTCGGCTCCTCGCGCCGCACATTTCCCTTTCCCTGGCGCTTCTCTCTGCACTGCCCTCCTTCCCCGATCAGCCTCCCTAGGGGCACCACCCCCTCGGGGGCTCCCTTTCGACGCTCGGCGGGGTTGCAGCGAGTGGTGCTACAGTCGAGCATCTGATTCAGAAATCTCCTTCCGAATAGCTGAGCCGGCGTTTCTCCACCAACTCGCCGGGACGCTGGCCAAGTATCTTGAGCACGTTCGCCTCTTCAGCGTTAAAAATAGAACTTGGCCCAGGTCTGCCTCAGGGAAAATGGCCCAGATTTCTTAGATCATAATTTTCTTTGTCGTAGTTTCAGCTGTCTTAGGGGATGGGCAAGGGTCCACACCCAGGTGGCTCGCACCCGTGACCCCAGTTCCCAACACCGGCGGGGGCTGGGCAGGTTCCCCTCGCGGCTACACCCCCAAGGGAGCCGCGTTGCCTCGCGCAGGGTGGTCTTGCGCGGGCGTTGGTTCCCAGAGGCGCCGCGTGGATGCCGCGCCGCTGCACTGGCCCCAGCCCTGGGGCGAGGGCGGAGGAAATAGAGGAGGATGAGGATGAGGATGAGGATGAGGAGGAGGAGGAGGACGATTGTGATCGTGATTATGTTTATGATTATGGTTATGATTGTGACCATGATGATGACGATGGCGATGATGCTGATTATGATGATGCTGATGATGATGATTATGATAACGATGATGGTAACGATGATGGTGATGATTATGAGGAGGAGCAGGAGGGCTGTTATGTAAATGATGATGCTGATACTGATGCTGATTGTGATTATGATGATGAGGAGGGCGATGCTGACGACGACGATGATGATGCTGATGGTGACGAGGATGATGATGATTGTGACGAAGACTGTAACGATGTTGCTGATGATGATGTTACTGATGATGATGATGATGTTACTGATGATACTAATGACGACGACGACCACGACGATGCTGACGTTGATGATGTTGCTGATGAAGATGAACATGATGAAGATGATGATGACGATGATACCGATGTTGATGATGCTGATGGTTGTGGTGGTGATGCTGATCATCATCATGATCATGTTTGTGATCAGCATCATCATGATCTTTACCGCGATTATGAGTATGATGATGAGGATGGCGATGATGGTGATGAGGTTGCCGATGATGATGCTGATGCTGGTTGTGATGATGATGCTGGTGCTGATGATTATTATTGTGGTGGCGGTGTTGGTGATGGTGATGGTGATGGTGATGATAATGGTAATGGTGATGACA